TAAATTCAAAAAAACGGAAGAAAGAAAAAGTCCCCTCTGTCATATCGTCTCATGCGTGGCAAAAATACCATGAGAGCAAAGAGAGAAAAAATTGAATTAGAAAAAGAAAAAGAGACGAACTGAGGAAAGAGAAAAGAAGAAAAAAGAGACTGAAGAAGCAAGAAAACTGAAGACTATTGAAAAATTAACAAAGAAGAACCAAAAGATTTTGAATAAAAAATCTAAGACTGATTATAGCTCAAGTACTGATGAAGAGTGGATAGAGTCTGGAAATAGTATGGATGATATATCTGATGAATTTAATGATGATGAAGAAAATGAGTGTGTAGAGCGAGAGGAGTACCAGAATACAAGTATTACTATTAAGCAGAGTGATTATGTAATTGTTAAGTTTCCTGGGAAGAAAAAATTTCACAAGTATGTTTGTATAGTCCAGATGGTTACAAAAGAAGACAATATTGAAGTTATGGCGATGAAAGCATGTGACCAGTCTAAAACCTTATTTAAAGAAAACGATCAAGATATTAGTGTCATAAGTATTTCACAAATCATAACGGTTCTTGACGTACCAGAGATGATTATTATGGGTGATAGAATTAAGTATAAATTTGCAAAATCTTTAGATGTTGATGGGTAGTATATTAAAAGATATGGTACACTTTTAATTCGGTTTGTTCAATGTTTATTTTATATTAAGGTATACTCATATGTTAACTATTAGTATTAACAGATAAGTGTCAACTACTTAATGATGATTTGATTTTTGGGTGTCATCCTTTGGTTAATAATAAGTGTCAACTAATGGTGATTTCGATTTTTTGATGTGTCATCTTTTGGTTACTTGACATAGATTTAAAAAACACACATTTTGATTTTATTTTTGTGGATTATGGGGGTTTTTGTCCCAAAATATTGTTTTGTATGACCCACTGTACTAGTATAAAAAGTTATTAATTTTTAGTTACAATAAAGTATTTTACTTCTTAAGAATGAATGTTGCATCTTCCTTATAGTGTCCACCATTGGTGCCTTTACCTTACTTGTAAATAAGCGTTTCCGAAATGCAGCAAAAAAAGTCACCTGATAAAAAATCGCCAAAAAATCCTGGGGCAGATATTGGATCTGATCATCAACCACTTGTAGCAGATATTAAACTAAAGTTAAAGCGAATTCAGCGACAAGAACCAAAAACCAATGAAACTAACTTTGACGATATAAACATAAAACATAACATTAAAAAAGAATTTAACAATAGAATAAAAAACATCGGAGAACAACGAGAAGATCCAGAATAACTATGGAGTGAATTTAAAAACCAAGTAAACGAAATCTCCAACTTAATCAAGAAAAATAAATGGATGACAGACGACATCTTGAAATTAATGTTACAACGCCGACTGATAAAATCTAATGTAACAGAAAATAGACACCTGCAGAGAAGAATAAAAAAGGAGATCAAATTAGCCAAAGATCAAAATGAATGAGAGAAAGGTGCGACGAAATGGAGGATGTAATATCTAAGCACGACTTATTTAATGTGCACAAAAAACTAAACGAAATGAGTAACATATTTAAAAAACGAGTTCCCTCTGTTCTTGTTGACTTCTTATTCTTACGGTGCCTATCCGTTCCGGATGTTGGCGATAAACATGGCCTCTCCTAACTTTGCTTGCTGCTATTCTGAATAGTCCGGTTGTCGCTGTAATAAACCACTTTCTCAGGTTTTGAAGCCAAGATATTCTTCTCCCTGGTCCTCTCTTTCCAAATACCTTGCCCTGAAGAATGAGTTGCAACAAGCCGTATCTCTGTTGCTTCCTCATAATATGGCTAAGATATTCTAGTTCGCGCTCTTTAATGGTGTTAATAATCTCGCATTCCTTGCCTATTCTACGTAGAACCTCAACATTAGTCACACGATCCACCCATCAAATTCTTAAAATACGTCTGTAACACCACATCTCGAATGCCTCGAGTTTTCTTAAAAAAGCTTCGGAAAGTGTCCAGGCCTCTACTCCGTATAATAACGTAGAAAACACATAGCATCTAATGAGAGAGATTTTGGTACTCGTTGACAATAATTATTAACAAAATTATTGTCAATGAGCACGAAATAAGAAAAGAATGGCAGCTGTATATATCAGAGTTGTTTGAACATGACAGGAATAATATTGCCGAATTCTACCAAAACTGTACTGACGGCCCAGAAATTATGAAATGCGAGGTAGAACACGCTATAAATAATGCTAAAATTATAAAAGCTTGTGGTCCAGATGATACACTAACTGAGTTACTAAAACTAATAGAGAAGGATAACATAAAAGTAGTAGTAAAACTTTTTAATTTAATATATAACACCGGAGTGATTCGCGCAGATTGGCTCAAATCCATCTTTGTCGCAATACCTAAAAAACACAATGCGAGAAAATGCTCAGAATATCGATTAATTAGCCTAATGAGCCACACTCTTAAAATTTTCCTCAGAATACTTCACAACAGAATTAGACGCAAATGCGAAGAAGATCTTGAAGATACCCAATTTGGTTTTAGAAATTCTATGGGAACCAGGGAAGCACTTTTGGGGTTAACATCCTATTACAAAAATGCCGTGACCAAAGAAAAGATGTATGTATTTGCATGTAAAATTAATGCAAATACTGAAAAATATCGGAATAGATGACAGAATATTCGTGTCATTAAAAATTTGTATCAAACTGCTATAGTAAAATTTTTAGATAACTACACCGATGAAATCTCTAGAGGGGTCAGATAAGGCTGCATTTTGTCGCCAACATTGTTCAATATTTACTCGGACCAGTTATTTAAAAAGGCACTTGAGAGACAACCATATGGAATAAAAATCAACGGGGAACTACTTAATGTGATTAGATATGCAGACGATACAGTAATTCTATTAGATAATATTGAAGGTCTTCAAATTCTGCTTGATCGTATTCACGAGGTAGGAGATGAAATGGGGATTAAAATAAACTCAAACAAAACCAAATTTTTAGTATTTAGTCGTGACCCAAATCCCGATGCAAAGCTTCAATTAAACGGAGTTTATGAGAAAGTTTAACATGAGTTTTCATGTTAAGTTGAGAAAGTTCACAAAATGACATATTTGGGAACTATGATAACGGACTAACTAGATCCAGACATAGAAATAAAACGTAGAATAGCAATGACTAAAACTACTTTTATAAAAATGAAGTCATTTCTTTGCAATAACCATCTCAGTTTAGAACTAAGGCAACGAATGGTTAAGTGCTATGTTTGGTCCGTATTTTTGTATAGTGCAGAAGTGTGGACGCTAAAAGTATCGATCATGAACAACATTGAAGCATTGGAAATGTGGGTTCATAGACGAATGCTGAAGATACCTTGGACAGCAAGGAAATCTAACGAAGAAGTACTAAGGAGCGTCAACAAAGATAGAGAACTGCAAAAGACTGTTAAACACAGAAAACTGTCTTCTCTGGGACATATAGTAAGGGGAAGTCGATATAAAATATTACAACTGATCCTTAAAGGCAAAATAGAGGGCCGTAGAGGTGTAGGAAGAAAAAAAGTTTCTTGGTTAAAAAACATTCGTGAATGGACTCAGATACCAAATGCAGGACAATTATTCCATATTGCAAAAGATCGAGAAGCCTACGCAATGGTGATCGTCAACGTTGGATAATTCTGATATGGCACGCGAAGAAGAAGAATCAATAAAATATGGTTAGAATTTCTTCAATTTAAACTTTTAAACTATATTTCTATCTAACTATACTTAAAAGAAAAAGCAGCAGAGGAAGCAAAATGTTAACTTTATAGAAATTAAAAAGTCTTGAGATTGGGCACTTCTACTTTTGTTTGGAAAGTAATAATAACAATATGGCCGCCGTGACGTCACACTCCGGCTATACATTCTTTTAGTAGAAAGGCTGTAGTTTGTACCATGACCAAGGGTAGCGGAAGCATAGTTTTCTTATCGTCTATTCGATTCCAATCGAGTTGATTCAATTCGATTTCATTTTACTTTAATTTTATTTTATCTTATTAATAAACACGACAGCGTTTATAAAAAAGTAGTGTTCTGTCAATCATTTTAAAAGGACCGAATCAATCAGTGACCAAATCTGAAAACGATCGAATCATTTCAATCGTTCGTTTGTTTCAATACTTTTCGTTGCCGTTTAAAACAAATAACACGTAACCGATTGATTAAGCTAAATCGACTGAAAACCCGTACTTAGTATTGCTTACCATATTTCATATATGTATGTGTATTCACCTTCATACGTTTATGTTAGTGCGGGTAGGGCTCAGATTCTTAAGAAATATTCGATAAGCTAGAATTTATTATGTTTTTGTTTTTTTAGGTTCTTAGTGAAACTCAGAAATAATTACAAATTTATATGAAAATATGTGCTGCGTCGAAAAATAAATATTGATTGTTATTGTGTAAATGTTAATTTTGCGATATTTTATGATTTTAACTACCTAATAACTATTAACAACACAAGCGAAAGAAATCGCTTGGGCCCGATAGAATATTTTCCAACTCCAATACTCACTGTCTGTAGCTAAGTCTCTGCAACGCAATCATTCAGCCGCATTGCATATATCGGTTTTCGTCGCAGGTGAGGAACGACCGAGGACCGAAAGCAATGAGAGTATTGGCTGTGCGATTTAGTTTTGGTGCGATCAATAGATTTTTGTCACCAGACGATTATATCGTTATGAACTAGCAGGATTCAGTCGTTCAATACTTTGAAGTGATTGAAAAGAAACGATTCAATCGCGATTGACACAACACTAGCGTTTACCATTCCACGTAGTGTGTGTTCGCGCGATCTGTCGTTACAGTCGTTAAAGTTTTCTTGTATCGGGTTTTGCAACATTTTATTATATTGTTACAAAACTGGCACACTAACAAAATTAAACGATACTTTAACGTACATGTTAGGAAGAAATATAACAATATATTTAAACATGAAAAAAACGAATAATGTACTTATAGAACTATATATTTATCTCAATATCATAATACAGCAACTGTATTTTATAAATACTTAAAATCTTCACCACACTATTCAGATCCCTAAAAAAAATGTTTCAAATTAAAATACTTATTCATAATGAACTTTTAAAATACATCTAGAGCTATTTTAGATTGAGGAGATGAATGCACAATATTTGATAAGTACAAATGATTTTTTAAATTAAGTAAAGACGAATTATAAATAGATAAAATATAAAAAATATTGGAAAAAGAGCTGTCAGTTCAAGACTGACGGATTTGATCAATATATTGTGCGCATTTGCAATATTGAAATTCTTAAATTTCTAAAATAGAGATTGCCTTACATGACATTGGATAGCCGCAATATAAAATAGCTTTTGTGAAAATTTAAAATTTTTACTTACTGTAGGATCGCAATCTGCGCAATGCCAGGAGTAGCCTCTTATTTTTGGAGTTTTCTTCAGAGGAGGATCCAAACAAGCAAAATGGTAATTTTTCTGGCATTCGTCACACCTACAATAAACATTGATTGCATTAACAGAAATTAGTAGTATTAGCTTTCTCTTCAGTTTCCAATATGGAAGGAATTTAAGAGGGGATATATTAGTTATTCAAGGTTGCGTGTCGTGAGGTCCATTGTGATTATTTATTTTGTATATATTAATAAATATCCATTACTATTTAACTGGGAATAAGCCACAATTAAAGGTAAAAGTACGTTTATTGACGTTTGAATTTCCACTTCGGAAATCGTTCTCAATTTTTTTTTTTTTGAGAACCATTTCCGAAGTGGAAATTGAAACGCCAATAAACGTACTTTTACCTTTAATTGTGGCTTATTCCCTGTTAAATAGTAATTAATTTAAAATGCCACAAGAAAATAGTTTCAGAACAATAATAAATATGCATATTAATAAATTGTCAATTTTTGGTACCGCCGCCGAAAAATAAATTCATTATATTGAGAGCACTATTCACTTACTTGACTGAGTTACTGGGAGCTCCTTCACCGCGACAGACATCACAAAGGTTTCCACCAAGAGCTGCGGTTTTCTTCGGAGGACTAGTCACAGGGGACTTCACCTTTTCTGGTGACTTCTCCGGAGATCTGCTGGCATCAGAGACTCTAGGACTTCGTATTTTTCTCACTTCCCTCTTTTCCACTTTTGGCATCTTAACTGGGTGTAGCGGTGGAGGAGCATTATCATCTGCTTCGTTGGGAACATAAAAACACTGAGGATTGGATTCTGAGGCGACTTCTCCGGCTGGTAGAGGTATGGGTTTAATCTATGGAATAAAATTATTATTCTCAGTTGAATCCAACACACGAAAGAACAAAATAATGACACAGAAACGGCAAAAAACGACAGATGAAAAAATGCCACATAATGGTACTGTTCCATCTTGACGTGGTAACGGGGCTTGAGCTGGGTTGACTGCTGCCAGGTTACCAACAGAATAGCAACGGGCTAGGTGAAGGTGGATTGTACCATATCCAGACATGTATGGCAGTACATACCGTTGTATATACTAAGTACATACGTGTATGTACTTTCCGTGTTCCGTGTCTAAAAATAACTACTACAAAGGTCTACTGGAAGCATCCGCCTTTACTTTCTTTCATATTAAGCCTTATACCTACATTAGGAGATCTGTAAAAATTACCAATACTTCCAAAACTGGTACTTAGCAGACTAAGGAAGAATTACCACTACCTAAAACATTCAGACAAAGATGAACAATAGATGATGATTAGAATACTCGACACTCGCTGTTAAGCCAATTAGATGCGTCTACCAGAAGCATTCCTGATGAGAAAATTAAAGAGAACATCTGCAACTTCCTCTCCAAATGGTTGTGGTGGGGAAGTTACAAAACTGCTCTAATAAAGATCTAGATAGCAGTGATCACCATGAACTAGTGTGAATGAAAGAGTGCGCACTTATCTGAGTCTTCAAGTGCTTTTCGATATAAAGATTGTCGAGCCATAGACGGTTTCTTTGGATTATTATGTACTGAGGAAGTATTTTTAATATCATTACGGATTTTTTTTGAAAAAAAAAGGAGTGGAAAGGTCTTAAGGCGGAAGAACTCTCTAAATTCCAACGTGCGCTGGTGTACCTTCTACAGATCAAAATTTTGGTATGAAGATATTATTTGCGAGTCTTGGTAAACAAACTAAAGGTCTCAGGGTGTGCAAAAAGGAGTGGAAAGGTCTTAAGGTGGAAGAACTCTCCAAATTCCAACGTGCGCTGGTGTACCTTCCACAGATCAAAATTTTGGTATGAAGATATTTGCGAGTCTTGGTAAACAAACTAAAGGTATCAGGGTGGGTAATACTGGGTTTTGAGGCAGCCTCCAATGGATGACTTACATGTCAGTAACAGGTCGATAAAGGAAGGATTAAACGGAATATACTTCAAGCCCTATGACCAATTAAGACCAGTTTTATGAACGGAAAGAAAACTACACTAACTGGGAACACTAACTAACCAAAGTCTGCAACACTACAACGCATAGGTGTCAGAGACATATAATGTCTCGCCTGAGACAAAAATAAGAAGAATATAATGGGAAAACAGCATTAAATATCAAGAAGTTGATTAAGTATAACAGATATACCAAATAAAAATGTAATTAAAGCGGCACATAGATTATATAGATAATCTATATTAAACAGCTTTAATATTAGACGAGGCAATGAAGCACTAAACCTAACAATTTTCCGCACCAAAGATGGATCGCTATGCAACTTTTTGCATTCGATTCGAGAAAGTTTTAAACAAAATTCATGGAGGTAAAATAAAAATTGCGTTTTATGCATAAGGAAAATGCATTTCCAAAGTGCATGGGAGGAAGATTAAGACAACAGGTGGGCAATCTGTATTTACATATAAACAAGAAATAGCCATTATTAACGTTTTAACATGTGAAGATTGGGGATATCCATTAAGCGCAATGGATTTGAGAAAAGTTTTTTGGACAACAGTGGTAGAAGTGTATCTAGATTTAAAGAGAATATCCCTGGAATTGACTGCGTAAATAGCTTGTCGAAGAGACATCGAGGTATTGGTGGTAAAAGATTGGCAACTAATATTAAAAAATGCCGAGCAGAAGTATCTCCGGATCTAATTAATAAATACTTTGACTATTTAAAACAAACAATTGAAAACGTTCCGGTTGAAAATATTTTCCGAAAATGAATTTCCCAAGCTGTTAAAGCATACACTTTAAAATATGAATAAAATACCACCAAAAAATCCAGTCAGAGAGAAAAGTACTATATAAAAAAAATTACTTTCTGGTTTTGAAGCATGTGGCATTGCACCATTCAACCCAATCGAGTTTTGGAAAAGCTACCACAAGACGCTATTGACCGAGCTTAGATGATCTCTTACTAACTTTTTGAAAGACTTGAGGTAGAATTCCGGCTCTGAAAAATCTTGATGTAAAAGAAAACTGTAAAAGCAACTGAACCAGATTAAAGTGTTACAGCTCCTAAACCATTAGGGGAGTCCAGTGACGATGGTGCAAATCATGAATTAGATGACAGCAATAAAGATGTTGATATTAACAAAGATGAAGAGGAGGTTGAATACTTTTGTCCTACATTAGAAAACATCACGAAGGGAAAATTCCTGCTGGTGAAATTTTTGTCTGGTTCTCGGAAAAAGATGTTGCTTTACTACCAGATCCTACACATGGGACTATTTCTGGTAGGATATAAAAGTATCATTTTCACGGAGAAATTAATATAAAATAATGTAAATCCAATTTTCATTTTCTTTAAAATGTTCTGAATTATATTTTTAGTTCTTAAAAATCTGTGTTTTTTTTTGGTATATATAAAGAATGGTACAATAAAAATAGTATGATCATTCTCACACCAGAAGATCAATCTGAACCCTTTGTAAAACTTCGAAAAACTGTTTGACCAAATTAGTCGGGCTTGAGATTGAGCACTACTGTTTCATGGTATAAAATCAACATGTTCAATTTCACTCCATACACGGGTCTAAGATTGATCACCATTTTTTTTATATAAGATAAGTGGATTTTCTTAACAATTATAACAAAACTATTATAGTGTTAAAGCATTACTCTTTAGATATTAATATAATACGTAGTGTTTAAAGATAGAACAAATACAAAAATGTTTAGAATATAAAAAAAAATAAAGTTAAAATTGATCAATCTCACCCCATTTCACGGTACTCAAATTAATTTATATTATACTAAATTTAAAACAATTTTTAAACATTTTATTACAGCTTCACCTAGTAGTGGACCCAGCTCGACCGTTTAGATTTCCTACACTGAGTATACCCAGTAGGAGTTTTATTAATTTTATATATTAATATTAACATTTCAATTATCAACAAATTGCTAAACAACTGTAGATCAATTGATCTACGGGAATATAAACGAAGCAGAGGAAGGCCCCAAATGAGATGGGCAGATGATATCAAGAAGCAGTGGGCTCTAGATGGATGACTGTAGCGACAGACAGAGAATGGAAAAGGATTGGGGAGGCCTATGTCCAAAGATGGACCGAAGAAGGCTAATTAGATAGATAGATAGATTTGCATGGTTGTATATTTTAATATGTCCGACTGTTGGTCAGTTGGTCTTGAGTAATGCTTTGATATTTTTAATTTTACAGTTTTCTCATTGACTATAGTTTGACTGAACCAGTCGTGTAGTACTTCAGTTTGCACACTTTGTTTTTAACTTTGATTTTTATTTCTTTGAAAGTATTTCAATTTCAAATTTAAATTTCTTCTTTTCTATAGTATTGATAGTAATAGTTTAGTTCTTACCTTCACTCTCTGTGTCCACTACATTTGCCCCCAAACTAACACCTAAGTTATCACTGACATGTCGAGTGTGAGATCTAGGATTATACAGCCAACATATAGTAATTAACATAATTTCATATTTCATCAGTTTGCTTCTCCTATATTAGTGGTCAGTTGGACTTTTGGTCAATGTGCAGTTTACCATAGAATTTTTGAAATGTGCAGATCCCTCTAATTCTGACTGACCATCTAAGTTGTCATATGTCAGATGCCACTTTAACGTTTCTGTTAAGACTAAGAGCCATTCTGTCTACTGCCTACAACAATGTAGCATCCAAACAATTGTTAAACTATTTGTCATTTATCTAGTGTTTTTTTGTAAATGTATTTAAATGTTTGTACCATTCAATGATGTACTGGATGGCCAACAATTTTTATTTCAGATGCCCCTGAAGATACTCTGAGAGCGAAAGTACTTTTTCAAGATTTAATAAAAAAACTGTGCTGTACAAAGGAAGAAAGGAACAATAGTAATTTCTTATTTGTAGTAGTAAACTGAGAGCTAAAAACTTAAAAAAATTACCTTGATAGTGATTCTCGGATGTGGTAACGGCTCTTCTACCTCCTGACTCTCCTTTTTCTTCTTCTTTCTCTTATGCTCCCTGCTAGCATCCGGCGACCCTGAACTTTTACTTCTGTGCTTTTCTCTTCGGCGTTTCTTAGCCGATTTGTGACTTCCCTCGTAACCGTTGTCTAAGACAACCTGGACACCGTTCATTTCGGCTAATTCGGCGAATATATTCGCATAGGTTTTTTTCTTGGATGGAGATGAATCGCGAGATTTAGATCTTTCTTTTTCAGCGCTTTCCGCCGAGGAATCGACCGATTTGATCTTCAGTTTTGGCGTGGAGATGTCTTGGTCTGACTTACTTTCCCTAAACAAAGAATCACTATAGCACATAACTATTGGACATTCAAATAGACAGATGTTCACATTATTTATTAGTAAATATATAATTATTAGTATCTATTAGTATTATTTTATTAATGATATTAAAAAACCTATAACGCAAAGCTATGGTAAAGATGACAAATTTAGTAAAAGCTGTCTTTAGACTATAATATGATGAAAACTCTGCAAATTGGCGGAAGTTATTATGATTTAAGAAATATGTAACCGAGAAAACCTTCTAATGAAGTATCGTCCTATAATCAATATCACTGATACAGGTGATGTAAAAATTGTTTGAAACTTTAATTTTACTTAAAATTTGAAAGAAAACATCTGAAACAAAAATCTTAATTTGAGTTAAAAAAGTGTTAAAAAAGTCATAGAATATCGTAAATTAGAATATTAGAAATCGATATATTAGAAAAATCTATAGAAAATAAGAAAGTCTGCTATACCTTGTTATGCAGCTCAAGCTTTAAATAATGTTCAGTATGAAGGTTAAAACTACAAATTAAGAACCTTATTGCCTAAACAGTATTCAGTAATCTTACGAACATATATTTTGAATAAATAAAAAGTGTTCATAAATTTGGAAGTTATTAAAGCTGGAGTGTCATAAGGAAGAGTATTAGGTCGGGTCGTTCATGTATATAATATATACGTGTGAGATTCCAGAGTGAAAAGTACACTTCCTAGGTCAAAAAATTATTCTCGCTGTGATCTATTTCGGAACCTGAGTATAGATATTAGATCAAATAATTAACAAAAAATCAAAAAGTCATAAGCAGAGACTTCATAGTCATGTAAGTGTTATGGCAATCCAGCACCTTAACACCACTGAAAAAAAGAAAAGAATAAAGAAGCAACAGAATAAAGCAACTCTTTCGAGTTGCTTGAAGTGCTTAGTATAAAAACATAATAGTAAGGGGTAATGTCTAGTGAAGTATGGAACGTCAGAAAATATATACAAACCGATGTTTTTGACAGTTTGCAACAGTAGTATTTTGAGTTTTGAAATTTATAGTTGTCATTGTTATATTACGGTGTGGTAAAGTTTGACTTAAAAATAAGTGAAGCATTTTGTATGAGACCATTTTCCCATCCAGCGTGAACTACGACTAATCGTTGCCCTTTCGACACTGGTTTTCGTAATCCTTCATTACTGTTATCGGTCCAAGCTTTATCATTAGTATGGGAAGAATTAGTGTATGGTTCATCCAATTAAATAATTGGTCGACCCTCCTCAAGGTAATGTTTACTCTGTCTTAAGAAAATTGTTCTTAACTCTCGAATGTTATGTCGCTCCATAAATAACTTTCGATTACTTGGAATTTTGCGCCATCGAAAACCCAAAGCAGGCAAACAGCAAATATTCTTTAAATTTTGGGTGCAACGTCTAATAGTAGGTGCTGTTTTGTCATGTATATACCAATTGTGAATTTGTCTTCGAAATATTCTCGAATCAACATCATCTAACTTAGTCTTTATAGAAATTTTATTTTTTTACGTTTTTCCGCAAATGATGAAAGTTCCCTTTTTAACCTTTTTAAAATATTTTTTCTTTGCTTCACAATCTTGTTTATCGTACCCAGTATAATACCAACTGCTTGTGCAACCGGTTTGTGTACTTGTGACAAAAGAACTAATGGCTCACCACGCTCTGCTTCTAATTTCATCAAAATTATTACATTGTTTACTATTTCACGACTTTGTGCACTTAGAATTTTATGTTTTACTAGCGATTTAAAATCCATATTCAAAAATTCTTTCATCGACTGTACCAACTGTAGAATCGATTATGTTTGCTCCGGGACGTTCGGTCACAGAATAATAAACAAACAGAATGCCCACTCTCCATGGAAAATTAAGTACGCGCATCTCCTTCGCGCAGACGTTCCGCCATGTTTTAGAAGGAACCAGTGTTGTTTATGTGGTGTGCATAGAAAAATTAACCCGGTTTAATTGACTTACAATGCAATCATAGACCTACTATACAATTATATTAACAATGTTAAATATAATAATATAAATATAATATAATTAAACATAAATATAAACAATTACATAACCTCACAAATCATATGTCTGTGTTATGTGTTTCCTTCTAAAACATGGCGCGCGTACAGTGTAAAAAATTCAAAGGCGGCATCTGAGAGTGGGCATTCTGATTGTTTATTATTCTGTGGTTCGGTCTACGACTGATAGCTCCCGGTTTAGCGAACGTCAACACCAGTGCGCATCAAAATCTCAATTACAAATTGAACTTGGTCATCAGACGTCAGACTGTAGATGTTCTGACGTCACGAGAGGCAATCTAGCCAATCTAACGAGTCGACGTCCCGCTAAGAGACTTCGATGGAATTCCAGAACAACGGGACAATAAGTGTTAGTGTTAGAAGAATGTAAATAAATTAAAGTAAGTGTTAGAACACTCTAAATAAATTAAGATAAACATTACAGTTATCAATTATTAAAGTGAGTTTTACCTATTGCTGTAGATACTCCTACTTCTTCTGGGAGTTTTTAATTCTTCTACTTCAGAATCCGATGTTTTGTCGCATTCTGAACACTGCCAACCGTAGAGCTTAGATTTTTTCGGTAAACGGCTTAGAGGTGGATTGAGACAGTCCAAATGATAATAGAGATGGCAGGTGTCACATTTCGCTAGAAGATGTTGGTCTCGACGTTGTCGACACGTTCCACATTCGTTCAATTGCAGGGGATCTTTAATAAATATAAATATATAATAGAATGTAAAAAATATTCAAAATAATATTAATATTTTATATATGTAGGAAAAACTCTTCACCTTTGTTAGCATGACTACTCAAAACTCGATCAGTACGCCCAGATGGTATATTCTGCAATGGAAATCCTACGCCCATCTTCAAGGCAGCTGCCGTCGGTACCATCATAGGTTGTGGTGTCCTGCTTGAAACGGGCTTACCCAAATCATCGATGCTTGGTAGATTCTTTGTAGGACATGCGCTGAGTATTGCCGAATGAAATTTGTGGATGCTTTGCTTCAAGTCATTATTCTTCGCTATTAAATCGTTACTTTTCTTTAACACCTAAAAACATCCAAGTAGCAATGAAGCGGCGACAATATTAAAATAGTATTAAAAGTTTACTATGGTAGTGACGCCAAATAAGGCCAGTGTCTTAATAAGGCCAATTGTAAATATTTCCTTAAATATAGATATTACATACTAGATGTCACTGTAAATCACTTTCCCAGTCAAAATCGTCTACGCCATTCAGTCAGTAGTATCAAACAGCAGCGCGAAGTATACTAGACACGTGTTTACTACGGTGCTAAAGTTCGGTTGTAAATTTTAGGTAAGTTATAAAATCACTATAAAGTTACTTAAATAATATATACCAAATATTATTTCTTTCTAGTAAGGCCAAGTGAGGCCTAGAAGTTGCAATGAATGCCGTACGAAATGGCATGGCTGTTCATAAGGCAGCACTTACATTTAATATTCCTCGGCGTACGTTACGTAACCATCTAGCTAGTTGTAATTCACAAAAGACTTGGGCGACCTCCAGTACTTACAAAACCTCAGAAAGATGAATTGATTATGCGTGTAGGAAGATTGTGTGACGTGGGTATGCCATTAACCTTCAAAATATTACGGTAAAACGTGTATGCTTTTGTCACAGAGACAGAAATAAGGCATCCATTCTCGATTAAAAAGGAGATAGCTGGAAAAAAATGGATGAGATTGATTTTTTCTAGGCATCCTGACATTGCAAAGCCTCGGGCTCAAAAACTCAATTTGGCCAGAACGCAAAAATTGAATCGTACAGTTATTATTATATGTACAGTTGTTATTATTATATATTCGAGAAACTTGATAGATTTTGTGACAGATTTTATATGAGAAAGCGCAGAAAAACCTGCTCTTTTCAACATGCACGAAAAAGGATGCCAGCTTACACTACATCGCCAACAAACTGTATTGGCCAATAAAGGTGCTACAAAGGTGCATATCGTTGCACCAGAGCACGGCGAAAATATAACAATCGTGGAATGTGGCAACGGCATAGGCAACAGCATTCCGCCACTTATCATTATAAAAGCACAACGAGTTAAACAGAATGGTATGTAATCTTCCAGCAGAAACAAAAATTATAATGACCAAGAAAGGAAGCATGACAGCAGATGCATTTATAGAGTGGTTAGATCACTTCTGCCGATTCGAAAATCCTGGACCAGTCCTTTTAATTTTTGATGGAGCTTCATCTCATTTACACATTAGAATTGCAGAAACTGCAATAAAAAAAGATGTAACTCTGTTTTGTCTACAGTCCAACACCATCCATGAGCTTCAACCTCTCGATAAAGTTGTTCTCAGGAGTTTTGAATCATACTGAGATGAGGAGGTGTTCAATTTTTGGGTGAACCATAATAACGAATGTATCATCAACCGAGTAAGATGTGGGCAAATATTTACGCCAGTTTGGAAAAACGCAATGACGCAAAAAAATATTTGTTCTGGATTTAAAGCAACTGGAATATGGCCATTCAATCCAAATGCTATTCCGGATGCTGCTTTTGCATCTAGTAGTCTAACATAACGAGAGATTGAAACAATCACCGAAGATTTTCAAGAAAATCCTACAACCGAATCAGAAATTGAAACAACTGGCAAAAGAATACAAATTTCGAAGAACAGCTATCCTGCAGCGGTAAACAAAAATAATAAAATCAAAGCATTCTCGAGTAGCGAGAAAAGGAAAATTACCAAAAAAAAAGGAATGACCAAAATTGTTCAAACTTACATCTCAGATGAAGACAGTGACACACTCATCTGGGTCTTAAACAAGTGGTACAGCTTCCAACGAGGATTATAGTGCTGCAATTTGCACGTTGAATAAATATGATAAAAATAAAGTTGCAAAAATAAGTGAGACAGAGCCATGTGAAGAACTAAATACAAGTTTTAGTTCCAATGGTTTGCTGATTGCACCAGAGTTAAAAGTATGAACAAAAAAACATCGACAGGCCATTAATGCGAAAGCACAAGAAGTTACCAGAGATTTATTTACTGCACAATCTCATAGCTCAGCAAAACCAAAACCAAATTTAAAAAAAGATTCATGGTACTGTTTCTTGTGTGGTGAGGATTGAGTGGCTGATATGCGCAAGTGTGTTTGTTGTAATAAGTATATCCACGAGGAATGTATGGGATTAACAAAAGACGACAAGGATATATTTATTTGTATGTCCTCGATGTATGTAAATGTGCGATATATGTACTTAACGTATTGACACATTTTTTTCGATAGCTAAAATGTTAGGCAATACGTATGCAAGACTTTTCTCCCATATTTTTGCTGAATAAATGCGATGCGATGAAGTTTCTTAAGAAAAAAAATTGAATTTATAAACAAAAATAGAATAGCTACAACCAGCCTAAATGTCATAAATACTAACTTAAAAATTTTTATTTTTGACATATTGTCAAAAATAAAATTTTGTTTAAAAAATTCTTCTTTGTTTAGTAAAATAAAATTATTATAAAATTTTATAAAATTTTTAAGTTAGTATTTATGACATTTAGGCTGGTTGTAGCTATTCTATTTTTGTTTATAAATTCAATTTTTTTTCTTAAGAAACTTCATCTAAATTTTTCAGAGAAACATTTATTAGAATAAGACATTTTTTTATTAATATTTTTTGTATTTAATATGTAAGCAGTAGTTTTATATAAAAAACTAATTTTATTTGGTGAGTTAACAAAAATTTTTTATTTCTAGTTCAACTTTGTAAGACATTTTGTATTTTTTAGAAGCTCTTGATAAAAATTGTAATCACAATTGAAAGCTCGAGTAAAAAATAGTCAACAAATAGCCCCTTTTATTGACTCCAACCCATCAAAAACAGTGTTATATTTTTTCCAAACGAGTCACAAGTACTTCTTTTTTCTTACTCTTATATATATATATATATATATATATATATATATATATATATATATATATATTTTGCAGATTTCCCCAATATTTAAGAGTTTACTATATATATATATATATATATATATATATATATATATATATATATATATATATATTCGTTGACACATGTCTTAAATGACAGAATAAAAAAGAATGTTCATAAAAATGATGGAAGCGATAAAAGGCAGAACACCTCGTTTATATATTTATATAAAACTTACCTCATCATACTTAGTCCTTAATTCCTGTTGTTCTTTTAACAAATCCTTATTTTCTTCCGCATACTTGTCCACACTAGCTTTCATGTCTTTTAGCCTATCGTTTCTATCTAAAAAGTACGCTATGAATTCTACTGTGAACGCAGGTGGAATGTGCCATTTTTTCCTGTAAATTATTCAAAATTATGATTAGTGGCGTTTTAATAAGAAACAAGCAATTTTTTCTATTACCTAATATCAGCTAATGCTACCGTTTGCGATTCTTGCATCTCTAATACGACTGTGTTAATACCCATCAAGTCAGCCTTCCTTAAAAGTTTCCTACATGCCGAGGCACTGGTGGTGAGTAGGCGAGGCATTTTCTGGGTCGGCACTAAAATAATGAAACAATGAAATAAAACAAATAAACAAATAAATAGTTATATGGATAATATCTATTTAAAGTCTATCGGTGCCTACGTTTTATTCAAAATAAAAAAATATTAAAAATTCTGAATAAAAAGTTTTATTAAGAATTGCACAATACAATCAAGTCAACAAAATCTAGAGATATTACTTACATTTTAGGAGACTTTAATGCAAAAATTGGAGTAGGTACAGTTGAAAATATAGTTGGACAGTTCGGACTAGGAACTAGAAACGACAGAGGAGAAAGGCTTATAGAATTCTGCCACGAAAAGAATATGGTAATTGCCAATACTTGGTTTCAGCTTCCTAAGAGTAGAAACGTCTCCTCACATACAGAAAACCACATTGTCAGAAACCAGATAGACTTTATACTCGTAAATAGCAGATATCTCTATAACCTCAGTTAAAATTTATCCTGGAGCAGATGTTAACTCAGACCACAAAAAATACTAACTGACAACAAACACATTATGGATGTAAATAAAAAGTGGTATAATATAAGAAACACATTACTGAAACCAGCTCAAGAAAGTTGACACAACATAGGTCAGAGGCTAAAAAACAGTGGATAATAGAAATACTACTCTATATAGAACTCCTTGGAAATCTCTAAAGTCACTTTGGAGATGTCTGCTCTCGACGATAGAATGTATTCGTTAAAAAACCAAGCTGCTGCTGATATGTTGGCCTTCGAAGAAAAGTCGAAAGAGTTGGAAAGGAAGATGAAGGGAACAGGGACAGCAGAGAGAGGAAGCAATCCAATTACAGTAGAGACAAAATAAGACGAGACGAAATGTAAGTTGGAAACATGGCCGAACTTTGAAGGAAGTGGAAGTTCTGTTCATGTCAAAGTCCAAACTTTCGACGGAAAATCGTCATGGAACAACTACATGAAATAGTTCGAATCAGCTGCAAGAACGAATGGATGGTCTGAAAAAGAAAAGGCTGTAAACCTGACTATCGCTCTTCAAGGAGATGCCTTAGATGTGCTCCAGACGGATGATTTCGAACAACTTAAGAAGAGGTTAAATATGCGATATGGCCACGAACACTTGGAGCATGTATACCAGTCGCAGCTTAAAAATCGAAGACAAAAGAAAGATGAAGCTCTTAAAGAATATGAGAACACTACGATTAGCTCGTCACAAGACGCTGGTTGATGTGTTATCCGCCGCCCTCGAATACGAGTCAGCTACACAGACCTCTGGCGGGTATAGTAAAGTTAGGACTGTAAAAGAGGAAGGAGATGAAGATAAACTTGACCAGCTCGTTAATATGATGAAAAGTATTACATACAAGAAAACGAAGACCATAAGATACTGAAATTGTGGCGAAATAGGACACGTACGAAGCTCATGTAAGCACCCTAGGTACGACGCAAATCAAGAAACTCACCATCAGGAAAACTAGAACGGGTCGGCCTTAGGGGGGCTGCTTCGACCCAGAACTTTTCCAGAGACCCTTTCATACGAATAGCTTCTTTGAAATGTCGTGAAGTTAGTGTATATGGAGAAATAAATGGGAAAAGGCATACATTGCTGGTGTATACCGAAGCGACCAGAACCATTATACGCCCGACAGTTATAAACAGCCGAAATAAACTGTTACCAACGAGGTTGCGACTTCGGGCCGCTACAGGTGAAAATGCCAACATTCATGGAGAAATCCAGGTACAATTAGAAATTGGAGCAGAAAAGTTCGTCCATACTGTTATAGTTGCTGACATAGAAGAGGATGTTATATTAGGAATGAACGTAATGAATACGCATGGATTCCAATTGGATTTTAAGAATAAGGTAATCAGTTGGTAACGAGGAGGTATTTCTTCATCCACATCATGACAACACTATGCAAGCAGCCGTTAAAGAAGATATAAGATGCGAGAAGTGAAACGATCATAGTAGCGTGGCTACAGGAAATTGTGGATAAAGGGACACCCGTTATGATGGAGCCTTGGAACCATGACGACGAGGTTGGCCGAGGAATCATAATTAGAAAGGAATTGGTGACTTCGGCTAAAGAAATACTTGTGAGATTTATCAATGTCAATGACTATCCAGTAACCATCAAGAAAGAGACAAAAGTAGGAACTTGTGTACCTGTGATATCCATAATCCGTCAGACGACAACATCTGATAATTCCAACGACAAATTCGACCAAATGGTTGCAGTTTCGGGACAGTCTCTAAATCAGATGGAGAAAAGGAAATTAAGGGAATTTCTTCGGCAGTATCGTGATATTGTCGTACCGAAAGGAGGAAAGACGGGAAGAACAACCGTTGTTAAGCATAAAATTGATACTGGTAATGCTAAGCCAATTCGTCAAATAGCTCGACGATTACCAGAGGCGAAAAGAGAGGAAGCTGAAACGATTGTTCAGGAAATGAAGAAAGACGGGGTGATAGAACCTTCTACGAGCCCAAGGGTCTCTCCGGTGGTTCTGGTTAAGAAGAAGGAACGGAACGACGAGGTTCTGTGTGGATTACCGTTTGCTGAACAACGTTACCAAGAAAGATAGTTATCCTCTGACTCGGATCGACGACACATTGGACACATTGGCTGGAAGTAAATTGTTTTCTACTTTGGACTTGAAGTCTAGATACTGGCAGGTAGAAATGGACCCGGTAGATAAAGAAAAGACAGCTTTCACCACAGGATCTGGATTGTGGCAATTCAACGTTATTCCATTTGGATTTTGTAATGCGCCTGCGACATTTGAGAGGCTTATGGAAAATGTGTTAAGAGGGTTATCTTGGAAAACATGCCTAGTTTATCTAGATGACATAATCGTCTTGGGGGAGACATTTGAAGACCATCTGAAGAATTTAGAAAACGTTTTTAATCGACTTAAAGCTGCCCATTGATGTTAAACCCAAAGAAGTGCCAGCTATTTCAAGGTAAAGTCAATTATCTGGGTCATATAGTCAGTAAAGGAGAGGCCGTGGATAAGGGAAAAATAGATTCCGTGGATAAGGAATGGCCAGAACCAACTGACAAACATCAAGTGAGAAGTTTTCTTGGACTATGTACTTACTACCGGAGGTTTATTAAGAAGTTTGCGGATATCGCCAAGCCATTAACGCGACTCACAGAGGAAGCAAGAGATTACCGCTGGGATACAGACTGTCAAAATGCCTTTGATACCTTAAAAAAGCATTTACTCACAGCTCCAATTTTAGGGTATCCACTGTCAGAAGGAGAGTTCATCTTAGATACAGATACAAGTAATGTGGGAATTGGAGGAGTGCTGGCTCAGATTTAAGGAGGACAGGAAAGAGTCCTTGGATATTTTAGTAAAGTTCTCTCAAAACCTGAGCGGAATTATTGCGTCACGAGAAGAGAACTTCTGGCAGTAGTGAAATCAGTAGAGCACTTCTATCAATACCTCTATGGAAGGGAGTTTTTAATCCGAACCGACCATGCCGCCCTTAAGTGGTTGATGTAGTTTAAGAATCCAGAGGGTCAGATAGCCAGGTGGATCGAACGACTCCAAGAATACGATTTCAAGATTGAGCACCGAGCCGGAGTTAGCCACCGAAACGCTAATTCTCTTTCCAGAAGGCCATGCCCAGCAGAGTGTTCCCACTGCCACAAAACGGAATCCAAGGAAGCAGCAGCAGTATTTTGGAATCGTACCCGCATGTAAGCATTTATTAAACAGTTTGCTTACTGATCTTAATAAAATCTCTCCTCCTGCTTTTATTGCCTCAATAACGAATCCATCATCACCAGGCGATCGATAATTCTTCGTTTCCTTTAAAGCTGCTCTTACTTCTGACACAGTAATGGGTAAAAGTATTTCCGATCCCTGATTTAGGTGAGTCTTTATTCGTGTCGGGAAATTATCTTGCGGTCTTTGGCTGATGTAGAGGTCTTTATAAAACTCTCTGGTTATTTTCAGAATGTTTTGTTTATCTGTTGTTGCCTTTCCGTCTTTATCTCTCAGCTTGTATATTTCTTTTTTACTTTGTGTAAGTTTTCTTTTCATTATCTTTAAACCTTTGTTCTCTTCTACTGTTTGATTATTTACATTAGTATTATATCTTCTTACATCTTTTCTAAATTTCGGCTGAAATTCTTTTAATTAGCTTTCTATATTCTTCTTTGTTAGGTTTCGTCGTATTTCCGTGAGAGCTTTTGTATCTTTGCTAATCTTTTCACTTTTGGTGTCATTTTTCTTGCAAAATTTGAGTTGTGCGTTTCTAACCAGGTCTGTTATTAATTTATTGTGATCGTCGATACTTAGAGGTTTGGGATTATTACTCTGTAAAGTTTCCGCTATATATTTTATGTATGCTTCTGGCTGATTTGGTGAATTCCAAACTATGCGTTTGCAACTATTTATCATCTTTGCTCTTTCTTTTTGTAGGTTTATCGTTACTCTAGCTCTTACTGGTCTGTGGTCGCTTCCTACTGATTGTTTATGGAGTACAGTGACATCTTGAATAATTTGCTTTTTGTCTGTTATTATATAATCATATTCGCTCTTAGTTCTTCCGTCTGGACTAGCCTACGTCCATTTTCTATTCTGTGTGTTCTTAAAAAAAGTGTTCATTTACATACAGTTTGTGTTGCAGTAGAAAGTTGGTAAGCATTTCGTCTCTTTCGTTTCTTACTCAGATTCCAAAATCTCCGATTGCCACTTCTTGTCCGCCCTTCTTCCTTTCGAGTTTCCCGTTAAATATTTTTAATATGCATTTGTATATTTAGTGTTTGGACCTCCTTATATTGTTTTTATTCTAAGCACACGTTCTATTTCATCAGATGCCCGTAGTAAGTTTTTTTACCACAATTATGGTTGTGCAGTTGAAAGTAACAGTCCTTTGTAAGATACACCTCGTATAGGTAAAAATAGTCGAAACGAAACAAGCATTACTTCGAACGATGTTGATGAACGAAATTGAATAGAAAATATATAATTCCAAATTTTAATGTTGATAAAAATTTAGCTAGTGTTGTCTTTTCGCAAAAACAAAAATTTTATTTAGGATAACATCATATTCTAATAAATAGGTAAACATTAACCTACAGTAATAGATATTTAAACAGTGTCGGCTTTAGACGTCTTGTCCCCCAATGACAAAAACTATTTGACGGCAATTACCGTCTTGTATGCAAATGAGTTAGTAAGGAAACTTTGATACTTACCCCATGGTGGTGGCTTTAGTCCTTTATGGCTTAAATAATGAACAGTCTGTTTCTCTAGTTTTCTCTTTATCCTTATTTGTTCGGGACTATCTTTATGGCCTTCCTGTTCAAACTGATACTTCCTATATTGTGTCCTAAAATAGTTTTATTATCAATTACAAGTTAGTGAAGACTACAGGTAATTTTTCTGTAGGGATAGTGGTAATAATGGGAATGACAATGATAATGATAATTACTGTAGTAATGGTAATGATGGGAGTGGTAATAATAATGCAAAAGCAGCTGTAATGATGATGGTGGAAGCAATAATATGAATAAAGGAAGAAAAAAACCAAAAAATTAATCTTTGCACATAAAATTTGAGGATTATGTGTTAAATATAGGTAAAATGTACATATTACGCCAAGATTTAATTAAATAATAAATAAAATATAAAATCGAGTTAGCAGCACCACAGGAAATTAGATTGGGAGGAAAAGTGAGAATAGTTAAAAGTAATTACTGTTTAATATACACAGGAAAGGTAGAATAAGATAAACAAAGAATAAGATTCATATTTGGCAAAGTCAGTGATAATATAAAGGAGAAAAGAGGTAAGATAAATAAGTGGAAGAATAATTTATGTAAAAATAGAGGCCAAACCAAATAACATAAAAATAATAAATGCTTATGCTCCGACAGACGTAGTGAAATAAAGGAAAACTTTTATGAATAATTAAAAAGTGACATCGTGTAAATGTTAAAAGAAAGTATGGTAATAGTAAGGGCTGATTTTAATGTCCAAATATGCAAGGAAGATTATATCCCTAATGCAGCTGCAAAAAACACATTCGACGAAAGAAAAAATGATAATGGATACAGACTAAGCCTGTCAGTAAGGGTAAAGAACATGACTATAAGTAGCACGAAATTTGAACACATTAAAAAGCACAAAATAACATACCCAAAAGGAAAAACAGAATCGTAGATCGACCTCATATTTGTACCAAAAGAAGAGAATCATTAATAATAGATGTAAGAACCAATCAAGGAGTGAATGATGACTCAAACCCCTACATGGTGGTTGGAAAGATTAGATAGATGATAAAAATAAAATAAAAAACTCGACAGAATCAAATTAAATAGAATGTAGCTAAATTAAATATGTAATGAAAATGTGAAGGAACTATATAGACAAGATTGAAAAAATATTACAAACAAGGCCTAATGACCAAACCGAAGTAGAGGAAACCCGGAATAAGATAAAGAACACAATGCAATTAACAGCGAGAGAAAGTTTGGATATGAGAATACAGTAAAAAGTAAAGAATGGTATAATGATAATTGTAAGAGCATACACGAAGAAAAAACAAAATAAGGTTAGTATGGATTCAACATAAGGAAAGAAGTATAGTATGATTAAAAATAAACTAGAAAACTCGACAGAATCAAATTAAATAGAATGTGGGTATATTAAATAATGATAATGTGTAGGAACTATATAGAAAAGATTGAAAAACTATTACAAACAAGGCCTAATGACCAAACCGAAGTAGAGGAAACCTGGAATAAGATAAAGAACACAATACAATTAACAACAAGAGAAAGTTTGGGAACGAGGATACGGTCAAAAGTAAAGACTGGTACAATGATAATTAATGTAAGTACAATGTGTAAGTACAATGTAAGAGCATGAGACATTGTAAGAGCATGAGCATTGTAAGAGCACATGAAGAAAAAACAGAATAAGGTTAGTATGGATTAAACATATAGAAAGAAGTATAGTATGGATTAGAAACAAAAAATAATATAAAAAGAACTCAGAAAACAAAGTAAAAAATACTAAATAAGAGAAACTGGATGAAAGAGAAAAAGTAATTAAAATCGAAAAGAAGACTAAAAATAACAGTTCGAAAATGTTTTACAAAAATTCAAAAAACAAAATACCAGCTACAAACTAAAGACATAATGTATTAAAAATCCAGAAGAAAAACCTATTGAAGATTAGGAACAATACAAATCTGTATAGCAGGAATCATCATAACCCAGCCTCAAAAGTCCACTGCTGAACATAAGCTTCTTCCTCGCATTTCCAACCGCATCTATCTTGCGCCGCTCTCATCCAGTTTTCATTTAGCCCTCTTAAATCGTCAGCCCTTCGTGTAGGAGGTCGACCTTGGCCTCCATTCCAATAAACTCTTTTTTCTATCGCCCATCTGTCATTCTAGCTATGTGTCCTGCCCATCTCCATTTTAATCTGGCTATCCTTACGAGCTATAAAAATATATCTACCGCACATTGGTCAATATAGTCTCCATAATAATACTAATTCGAATGGACACCGAGGAGTCACCTTCGCAGCCTCAAAGAACGTGATCGTAGGAGCACATGTTTTCTACACAAAAAAATACATATGGGGACTTGGACCTCGCCTGATGGATTAACGAACAACCAAATTGATCATGTGATCATATATGCTAGACACTTCTCCAACCTTATGGATGTCCGCACCTATCGAGGCGAAAATATTGATTCAGATCATTTTCTAGTTGGCACAAGAATTCGGGCTAGAATCTCAAATGCGAAGAATGAGAGCAGTACCAAAAAAGGCGTAAACTCCTGAACTCCTCAAAAATCCGCAAACGGTAGAAAGGTTTTAAAACTATATCGAAACTAAATTTATTATAATAAAATACAGACATACATAATAATAAATACAACTAAATACAAATAATATTCTAGGGCCGCAAAGACCACCACCACGCAATGAGTGGTTCGATGCTGAGTGCGAGGACATTACACGAAGAAAGAACAATGCATATAAACTAATGCAGCGAAGAAGAACCCGAGAAAAAGAACAAAAATATGAAAAATTTCAGAAGAGAAGAGAAGTACATTCATCGGAGAAAAAAAGCGAACTTATGAAAATAGAATATTGGAAGAACTTGAGGCATTAAAAAAGGAAAATCAAACAAGAAAATTTTATAAAAATCTAAATAATGCAAGAAAAGAATTTAAATCAAGGATCGGACTATGTAAGGATAAGGAGGGGCATATACTCAATACAAAAGAAGAAGTATTGAAAAGGTGGGTGGAACACTATAAAGAACTACTTAATATCGAAGTAGAAGATCCAAATCAACCACCACCAGGTACAAGCAACAATACGTCATTGGAGCCTCCATCAGTTCAAGAAGTACGGGATGCAATAAAACATCTAAAAAATAATAAATCTCCAGGAAGTGATGGTATACCCGAGGAACTTATTTAATGTGGAGGTGTTACTTATATATATATATATATATATATATATATATATATATATATATATATATATATATATATATATATATATATATATATATATATATATATATATATATGGTGATCAATTGGAATGTAGAAAATATAGGGGAATAATCCTCCTTAATACAGCATACAAAATATTTTCGAGTATTTTATATGGTCGCCTGAGTGCATATTCAGAGGAGCTTCTTGGCGAATATCAAAGTGGTTTTAGGCCTGGTCGATCAACAACACACCAGATCTTTGTGCTAAGGCAAATACTGGAAAAAACCAATGAATTCAATATCGACACATACCATCTTAGATTAGATCGTATATTTTAAATCGGCCTATGATAGTCTCCTAAGAAATAAATTGTATGAAGCCATGGATGAATTTCACATCCCCGATAAACTGATAAGATTGGTTAAGGCTACAATGCGTAAAGTTGTTTGCAAAGTCGAAATACAGGGCGAACAATCACAGGTATTTCAAACGCATGTTGGGCTGCAACAGGGAGATGCGCTGGCGTGTCTCCTTTTCAACATAGCTCTGGAAAAGGCAGCCAGGGATGCCCAAATAGACAACAGACGAAAACATTTTTAATAAATCATCCCAAATTTTGGCATATGCAGATGATGTTGACCTAGTTGCTCGCACAACACGCAAACTAGAAGAAATGTATACCACCTTGTCAAATGCTTAAAAAAATATGGACCTGCAAGTAAATGAGGAGAAAACTAAGATAATGGCATCAACACCCAACAATAGAGCCAGAAACATCGGCCACCAATTCACTGTTGATAACTCTACCTTTGAAGTGGTGGACAAATTCACATACTTAGGCTCCTTGATCACCAAGGAGAACGTCATGACAAAAGAAATTAAGTGAAGAATAATCCTAGCGAACAAATGCTATTTTGGATTGAGTAGACATATGAGAAGCAGAAACTTAAGCCAAAAAACAAAAATAACCATATACAAAACCCTTATACAACCAGTGTTGACATATGGATCGGAGACATGGACCATTTCCAGGCAGATGAAAACCTCCTGCTTATATTTGAACGAAAGATCGTGAGAAGAATATTCGGTCGTATCTGTGAAAATGGTGTTTGGAAAAGTAGCTACAACTACGAGATATATCACAGATATAAATATATATTTGGTGGTAAAGACGTAGTATCTCTTATAAAAATACGAAGACTAAGATGGGCAGGACATCTGGCAAGATCACAGCAGAACAACAGTCCTAGAAGAATCCTTATGTCACAACCTGTGGGAAGTAGAAGTAGGAGTAGGCCAAAACTCAGATGGAGAGATGGTCTACATGAGGATGGTAGAAAAATAGGCGCAGCAAACTGGCAACAGTTGGCAATGGATAGAACTGACTGGCGTAATAGACTTGGGAAGGTCGAGGCTCTTTTATAGAGCTGCAGCATCAATGATGCTACAGTTTTTGTTTTAAAAATATTCACGTTATTCTGAACATTTTTTGTTAATACTTCCATGTACCTATTGTGAACCGTTTTTGAGTTATAATGGTTTTTACAATGAAACTTACACTTTTCTACCATGTACTATAAAGTTCAATATCCTCTAATGTAATTTGAATAAAAATTTAAATTTTCATTAAATAGTTCACTCTTTCAAAGCCCCTTCATTTCAATTTTCATGATTCCGTTACCTTTAGTTCCCGAGATATTTCTTATTGGCCGTTTATCTGCCGCACCCTGTATTCTCTTCCGTATTTTCAGGCCTCATTCTGTTTTATGCCGTAGGCATATATAAAGTGTCTACGATCTTCAACTCATTACAAACGTTATTTGTCAGTCGGCAACTCTCGACTTCTCTCATTTCACTTTTCACT